GAATAATTGGCATAGGGCCAACCTAAACTATAAGTATGGGGAATAGATTTTGATTACCTTCAAGGATGTACCTTTGGGACCAAGAGCTTGATAGACTTTCCTTAATTAAGAGATAGCTATAATTTAAGTCACTGCATTTGTATACGATAGGAGCTAAAGTCATTTTTAAAAAATGGTTGTATTTTTAAGTAGTGAAAAGTTTCTCCTCCAATGTTGCTAGTTTGCTTATTAAATTTCCCTTGATAAACATGGTAGAGATGGTTCAGCCCAGCCTTTCTTATCGTAAATTGCCATCCCATAAAGATTAAAATGATAAGATTTTGTTCTGTACGGTTGGGCTTGCCCTCTTGGTAGACTGAGTTGGTTGTTGTTTGTATATTTTTTGTTTGTTTGTTTTTTGTTTTTAACGTGTAAGCATTCTTTGCCCCTAAAGGATGACAAACCCTCCCTTTTCCGGTCTCCTGCTACAGCCTGTCACCAGGTCTAGGATTCTCACCCCTGGAGGGACTCCTTTGGCTTAAATCTCTTCATGTCCAGGAAGCTGTTAAATCTTAGAGTGGTGATGGTGGTAGTGTGTGTGTGTCTTTCTGTTTCTGGGAGGATCTTTAAAAAGGACTGTAAACCTATTTTGGATCACCTGGATGATTACCCTGTGACTCAGTCTGGCCATATTTTTTCAGTTCCCAGGTTTGCATGGGAGTTTAAACTCACAGTGGGACCAAAGGAAGGCCATTGACATCCTGTCACAGGGTAGCCTGAAGAGAAAACAGGGTGTGTGAACTGAGTACTCAGGTGGCTCCCACTAACAGAGGCTTTCCAATCTCAAAAGCCTGGCATAGTTGGTACCTTTTTCATTACAGACAAAGATGCAGCAAAGAGCCAACTTTGTAAGTCCTACCGTTCATTAGGATTTTTGTCCTTGAATGGAATTTTTTTGGTTTTGTATTTTAGGGTACCACATTTAATTGATTACCCTTTCAGAATAATGGAATAGAAGATATAATGGGTTTATTATCAAAAAGAACAAATTACCACCACAACAATAATAATTTATAAACCCCTTTTTGTGGGCTAAGTACTTTGCTCGTGTTGTTGCATTTAATCCTCACAACGTCCCTCTGAGTAGGTACTCATCCTCTTCATTTTACAGGGGAGGGGGTGGGGCTTAAAGAGATTAAGTCACTTGCCCCGTATCAAACGGTGGGAGTTCAGCCCAGGCAGCCTGACTCCAGACCCATCACACTTAACCTCCTTTGGTAAAAGAGAAGACACACAGCTATATCTTTCTGCCATTAAACACAATTTCAGTTCTTTAATCTCAGCAAAATCGTATCTATCACATTTATGTCTGTATTTTGGATTTTATTGGCATTGAAATTTTTAAAAATTTCTTTAAAATAAATCACATATGCTTATTTATAAATTTGGTTTAATAGTCGTGTAAGAACTATAAGCATAAGAGTTTATACCCAGTTTTATATATTTGTGTGTATTTAGCTAATTTTATAATAAAAATGGCTGAAGTCAACACAGGCAGTCCACAGTATTAAATCATTAACACCCTCAGTGCATTAACACTCTTTACTTTAAATAAAATCCCTTAATAGCCTAAGAGACTGGACATATTTTGATGGACTGGGAGTGAAGAGGTAACAAGAAAGCTCACAGCAGAAGGTGCTGTTCAGAAATGACTCTAGCTGGTTACGAAGTATCAGCAGGGAGTGGGTTATTTATTTTTTCACAGCATTTAGAAGACCAGATTCTACTCTTTCTTGGCCACTATTGTGCTGAAGAGCCTGCTGCCAGTATAAATGCCACTTTATAGGTAATCACTCTTTCCTCTAGCTGTTTTTGAGATATTCTCTATGGCATTCTCCATAATCACAACTGTGGTTCTAGACGTGGTTATAGTTTTATTTATACTGCATAGGACTTCTTAGGTGTCCTAAACCTTAGGATTCATGTCTTTCATCAAAACTGGAAAATTCTCAGTGAAAATTGCCCCAAATACCATCAGTCCTCATTTCCACTCATCTCTCATACCACAGCTCTTCCTTTCATTCTATTTTCCTTGTCTCTTGACCTCTCATTGATCTCACGGTGTTCTGGTTAATTTCTTCAGATTTATTTTTCTGTTTACCCATATTCTCTCTTTAGATGTGTCCATAATATTTAACCCATCTTGTAAGGATTTTTTTAGTGGACAGGAGAGGTATATTTCATCATTTACATTTTTGAACTTTATTGAGATACAGTGTATGTACAGTAAAGCACACCTGTTTAAATTGTACAATTAGATGAGTGTTGGTAAAGGTATGCACACATGGAACTACCACCACAGTCAAAACACAGAACATTTCCATCACCCCTAAGAGTTTCCTTGTGCCCATTTGGGAAGTTTTCAACAATTATTTCTTCATATATTTTTCTCTGGCTCTTTGTCTTTCTCCTCATCCTTTGGAATTCCAGTTTCATACGTAATGAACATTTGGACATTGTACCCTCAGATCTCTGGGATTCTCCTTAATTTTCCCCAGTTTTTATTCTTTCTGTTGTTTGGGCACTTCTGTTTTTCTGTCTTCAAGTTCTCCGATTCTTTGTTCTGCCACCCCCAAATGTGGTTGAGCTCATCTAGTAAACTTTAAAAATTTCAGTTTTTTACTTTTCACCTCTAGAATTTCCATTTGTTTTGTTTTGCTTTAGTTTCCATTTCTCTATTGAGAATTCCTAGCTGTTCATTTGATATTATACCCCAATTTCCTTTAATTCTTTGAACATATTTATAGTAACTGCTTGTCTGTGTTTACTAAACCCAACATCTGGAACCTTTCAGAGTCAGTTTCTATTGGCTGCCCTTTCCCCTGAGTATAGAGCACACTTTTTTTTTTTTGCAGTACACCGGCCTCTCACTGTTGTGGCCTCTCCTATTGCGGAGCACAGGCTCCAGATGCGCAGGCTCAGCAGCCATGGCTCACGGGCCTAGCTGCTCCGCGGCATGTGGGATCTTCCCGGACCGGGGCACGAACCCGTGTCCCCTGCATCGGCAGGCGGACTCGCAACCACTGCGCCACCAGGGAAGCCCTAAGAGCACACTTTAATATTTCTTTGCATGTGTAGTAACTTCTGGTTGAAAATTGGGCCTTGTAGATAGTACATTATGGCAACTGTAGATTCTGTTGTATTCATCTTATATATATGTCAGATATAGATAGATAGATAGATAGATATAGATATATAATTGGTTCTAGTAGGCAATTAACTTGTCTGGACTCCAACTGCAAACTTTGTCACCCTTCTGATATGCAGCCGCTAATATCTGTATTCTTATGGCTTTCCATTGCTACTTTTTTTCCTGATCCTTTGTGATTTTTCCTTTTTCTCTATGATTTGCTGGCTAGTCAAGGATTTCAACAGAGATGGAGGTCATTCTTTTTTGATTTTCTTCTAGGGGTTCCCTTCTGCCCAATTTCTAGCTATTTGGATGGTTTGGGGCTCTGTCCCTTATATTTCAAGCTTATAAGATCCAACTTTCTGGCACCTGACTTGTGCATGGTTGGAAAGTTTACTCAGTTTAAAAAAAAAAAAAAAAGGCAGCAGACTCACAGATAGGGCTGCACATAACTCTGTTATTCAGGAGCAGATTTGTCTCTGGCTCCTGCCCACTTTTTCACCAGGCCGCTTAGGGCCTCCTCCTACACATGCGTAGTTTACCTCTTGGCCAGGGATTTGGGCAGAGTTTATACTCAGAGTTGTATACTCCTTCTGTGGTTATTTTTTGCTGCCAGTATTTTTCCTGTAGACTTCTAGCCACATTTTCAGCCTTGGACTCTGATCTCTGGCACCTTAGCTGGTAAGGCTGTGGTTTTCCACTGCTATTTTTCTTTTTACAGCTATAGCTGTAAGAGTTGGGCATTACCTCAGGCCAGGAAGACATAAACTCTCAATTCTTACCCTTTACTGTGACAATTTTTTGAGAGTAAACTCTCATTCTTCTTCCTCTTTCAGACTGTCTCCAGGGTTGCTCTTTTAAAAAACTTCTTTAAAATCATGTTTTTATCATTATTATCTGTGTGAGTGTTTCACGATCACTTCAGTCGTCTGGAAGTAGTCCACCCATTTGGTTGTTAATTTCAATATCTCTATTTTTCATTTGAATTTCTATTTTATTCCTTTCTGAATTAAATCTGGCTAGGGCCCATGATAGTCTTCTTTTTTAAAAAATTAGTTAATTAATTAATATTTATTTTTGGCTGTGTTGGGTCTTCGTTGCTACACGTGGGCTTTCTCTAGTTGTGGTGAGCGGGGGCTACTCTTTGTTGCGGTGCGCGGACTTCTCATTGCGGTGCCTTCTCTTGTTGCGGAGCACGGGCTCTAGGTGCGCGGGCTCAATAGTGGCATGCGGGCTTCAGTAGTTGTGGCATGTGGACTCAGTAGTTGTGGCTCGCAGGCTCTAGAGCACAGGCTCAGTAGTTGTGGTGCACGGGCTTAGTTGCTCCACAGCATGTGGGATCTTCCTGGACCAGGGCTCGAACCCGTGTCCCCTGCATTGGCAGGCAGATTCCTAACCACTGCACCACCAGGGAAGTCCGATAGTCTTTTAGTTTCTCACATTATAAGTCCCTTTTGAAAAATGTTTTTAACTATGCTTATTTTATGGTCTGTATCCAATTAATATCTAGTATTTCCAGCACGTGAATTTCTTGGGTGTTCAGCAGTGCTGCTAAACAAGTTATTGTGTCTGCTGTCTCTGTCTCATTCAACTTTTTTTAAAATTAATTTTTATTTGAGCATAGTTACTTTACAATGTTGTGTTAGTTTCTGCTGTGCAGCAAAGTGAATCAGTTATACGTATACCTATATTCCCTCTTTTTTAGATTTCCTTCCCATTTAGGTCACTGTAGAGCATTGAGTAGAGTTCCCTGTGCTACACCGTAGGTTCTCATTAGTTATCTACTTTATACATAGTAGCATATATATGTCAATCCCAATCTCCCAATTCAAAAAATGTGGAGCACTTCACGAATTTGTGTATCATCCTTGTGCAGGGGCCACGCGAATCTTCTCTGTATCATTCCACTTTTAGTATATGTACTGCCGAAGTGAGCACTCTCATTCAGCTTTTTATAAGTAGTTTTTGGATTATGGACCAGTGATTGGGAGCGCATTAAACATGGAAAAATAGCACATCCTGATTTGGGGGCTTGAATCTGCAGAGAGGTTTTTGTTTGCTTTTCCTGGCGTCCAGGGAATATCATGGACCATCGTCTTATTTTAATTTCTAAGGCCAGGGGCTCTTAGGCCAGGCATGTAGTATAAATTTGTAGCCCAAATCTACTTGAGCACAGGCTCATGATTATAAATTCTTGGAGGGAAACTCTTCTCTCTCATAATACAGAGCTGAGGACACCCATATCCGTAGGCCAATGGATAGACTTCTTTTCCTTGGTCCATCCCTTCACTGACAGTATAGCTCTCGAAACTCCTGGTGAGCAGTAGTCTTGATAATAGTTCTTGCCTCCCTCCTGCTCAAGAGTCTCCTGTGCACCCCACTTCTCTACAGAAGCTTTTAAAACTTCATCTACTTGATTACCAGAGGCATCAGATGAATCCCCAACAGTGCCAATTCCTACTTACTGCCCTGATTTTTCATTTTCTTATTTGATTTGACTTTCTATTCTGGGAAGTTTTGAACAGAAAAGTAAAAAGGATATAATAAAGACCCACACACTCATCACATGTATTTAGTAGTTAACATTTTGCCGTATTTGCTTTATCTGTGTGCGTGTGTTTGCTGAACCATTGTAAAGTAAATTATACACATCGTGACGTTTTACCCCTAGATACTTCAGCGTGCATCTCCAGACATTAGGCTTTTCTTTACAAAATCGTATTACTATTTTCATGCTTAACAAGTTGTATTCATTAGGGGTCTCCAGAGAGATAGAACTGTGAGAGGTGGGGGCGGGGTGGGGGGAGAGTGTGTGTGTGTGTGTGTGTGTGTGTGAGAGAGAGAGAGAGAGAGAGAGAAAGAACTGAGTAAATGGGAAGGAGAAAATTAAGAAGTTTTACCAGAAAATTCCTTAGCTCAAAAGGTCATGCATTTCTAGATTAAAAGGGTCCAGTGCACACCCAACACAATGAATAAAAAGATCTGCACCAAGGCACATTATTATAACCTTTCAAACACTGGAGGTGTTTGAAAGAGGATATTGAAAACTTCCAGAGAGGAGAAGAGCTGATATTCAATTGAACGGGAATCAGAATGGCATCACACTTCTTCACATCAGCACTGTAAGCTTGGGGGACAGAAGAGCAATGCCTTCATGTTTCTGAGTGAGAGTCATTTCCGGCTAAGACTTTCATACTCAGCTAGACTGTCAACCAAGTGTAAGGTTAGCATGAAGACATTTTCAGGCACAAAGTTCTTTTAAAATAACTTTTCACGTGACCAGTTGTAAAACTACTGGAGGAAATATTTGAAACTGGGGGACTAAATAAAAAAGAAGACTGCGTGAGATCCTGCAGCAGCAGAGCTAAAACAGGAGAGAGGCACAAGAAATCCCAGGAAAATAGTGGAGGAAATCACAGGGAGATTGTCCCACAGGAGGCCCTGAGGGCAGCCTCACAGATTGGAGGGCTTCGAGAGGGACATCTCAGTGAAAATTGAACTGATAAATAATGTGGTTGATTGTATTGAGAGGTTTATTAGAGCTTTTGTCAGAAATTTGGGGGCTGAATTAGTGATGAGAAAGTTGAAAATGAAGGAAATGAAAAGCATACTTGTATAAGAAAAGACATACAATCATCCGTGTGGCTTATCTGCAGCTAATGGTTACATAGTTTTAGTAATGTAAGCATTGAATCTTGTACTGACCAGTAATGTCATGTGAATATACAGGGAGGATGGGAAGGTCACTGGGATGGGCTGGAGGCTATCATATAGCTGGCTGGGGGCTAGGGTAAAAAGCTAAATCCTTATCTTCCATAGAATGAAACCAATAGATACTATTTAATATTGAAGAAAAATCAAGAAATGAAATATCAACATGTTGTTTAGAAAAACAAAGGTAAGTATCAGGAGAGATGTTTAGAAGGAATGAAAGTGGTTGCCTCTGGGAAGCAGGAACCAGGAGTACGATAGGAAAGGGGACAACTGTTTTTTGTTAAAAACCTGTAGTACCATATGACTTTTAAAACAATATACCTACGTTAGTTTGATTTTTTAAAATATTGTTTAAATACAAAAATAAAAAATTTCAGAATTTTAAAAACTCTTTGTAACTAATTAACTGTGACACATTTCATGATGCATTGTAACATTGCCATGTTGGTAAAGGTCTAAGTCATCCTCACTTTCTTCAAGGGCAGGGTGTTCCAAATCTTTACTTCGCATTGTCCAGTGGAGTGGCCAGTAGCCATGCATGGCTACTTAAATTAAAATTAGTTAAAACTAAATAAAATTCAAGCTTCAGTTCTTCAGTCGCACTGATCACATTTCCAAGTGCCCAGTAGCCACGTATAGCTAGTGGCTACCATATTGGACAGCACTGTCCTAAACCACTCTCAGATTCATCCCTTCGTCCAAGCTCATTGCCATTCTTTCTGAGGCAGTATACGGTGGTGATTGAAGGTGTGGGCTTTGGAGTCAGACTACATCAGCTCAAGCATGGGCTTCATCACTTAGTAGCTGTGTGACTTTGAACATATCACATAACCTCTTGGTGCTTCAGTTTCCCCATCTATAAGATGGGGATACTAATAGCATCATCATGTTCTAGGGATTGTAAGAAAGACTGTAACATAATGCCTTTAAATGAAGTGCTTAGCACCATGCCCAGCCCATAGTAAGCACTCAGAAGGTTACCTCTGTAGCTAGTACCATCATGATCATCATTGTCACGCCCTGCTGCATATCTCTTCAGACACTTCTGAGCTCGCGTGCAGTCCTGGTGGACAGTCCCCATACAGACTGACAGCTTCTTATTCCAAGGGCCTGCCTCCCTCTTTTTCTCTGCCCAAGGACTTCCTTGGGTGTTACATGACTTTGCTCAGTCGGGAGACAGAGAAGCCCAGAAATGCCGGGACTACGCATCCAGTGGAAGCTCACAACCAGAGAAGTATGGCATCAATGGATAAGTACCCGCTTTCCTTGTTGGGGCAATTCTGAGGTGTCTTCTCCACTATCTCTAAGAGGCTCCCAGGGGAACTGAGCCCGCCTCCAGTCCACAGCAGTGACCTGATTGGCGATGCATCTTCGTTGGTCCTTTTGCCATCCCTGTCTTACTTTCCCTCCCTCACTTGTGTTTCTTGGGGTCTGCTTCCAACCTGTACCCATGTCACGGTCTCAGGATCTGTTTTGGTGGAACCCGCACTAAGACGGTCATCACCACCACCTTCATCATCGTCATCAGTTCAGGTTCTCATTATCTTAGGGCCAACCTCCTACAGTAGCTTCCTGGCTTGTTTTCCCATCTTCTCTTCCACCCTCCAACCAGACCTATCCCAGTTTAATATAAATGTGGAGTTATGACTTACCTGCTTGAAGTCTCCATTGCTTCCTTCTTGCCCAAAGGCAGAGACTGAACGTAGTCCTGCAATAAAGAACTTGTACAAATTCCCCAGGGCCTACCTTACTAGCCTCACCTCTTGCTAGTTATGCTGCGTACCATCCTTTAAACACACCATTCTCCTTTGCACTTCTAGGTCCTAACACACGCTGTCTCCTCTGATTGGAGTAATAATAATCGCAGTGAATGGTTATTGACTACCTACCCTGTACCAAGCAGAGTGCTGTGCAGTCTGCACGGATTAGTTCATTTAATCATTAACTTTATGAGGAAGGTTTTAATATTCTCCCCGTATTAGAGATGGAGAAACCCAGGCTTAGGGAAGTCATATACTTAATAGCAGAGTTGGGTAATTCCAAGCTGATGCCCTATATTTGGCAGGAAAGTGACATCGCACACATGTAGGTAACTTAGAAGAAGCCAACTTTACTCACCCAGGAGGGAGAGATGGGGGAATAAAGAGAGAAAGGGAGAGAAAAAAAGGAGAAAGATAAAGAGCGTGGGTGATCTGCCTGCCAGTCTACTCCATGCATGTGTGCTTCCAGGGGAGAGAGGGCAAGGCAGGACTCTGCTGTTACCCGCGTTTTCTGGGCCCCTTGTACTGGGAGCGCTTTGCTGGTTCAGTGTGATTACAGCGTTGACTTATTTACAACGTTCATATGACATAGCTGCCCAAACACATGCCAGAGACTTCCTGGGAGATGGTGCATCCATCTCCCTGCAGGTTTTCAGGGCTGCCTTTGACTGTGTACCTGTTACAAGCTAACTCTCCAGTGCCTGATCCATGAACGAGGTGAGACCCCGTGGTCCTGCTTCCTTTTCCCACTTTCCCACCTGGCAGACACCTGCTCATCTCTTCCAACACAGGTCACACACCACCTCTGGGAAGCTTTCCCCACCTCCCCTGGAAAGAACCTTTCCTCCCACCTGGGCTCCCGCTGCACCCTGTACACGTTTGTTTCAGCGCTCTCCCCTGTTGCCTTCTAATGATTTGTTCATATATCATGTTCCCCAGCTGGGGAGCGGATTCCTCATTAGAGCCCTTTTCTCCCTTCTTTCTCCAGTATCTGCTACAATCCCTTCTCTGTAGCAGCAGGAACTTTTCTTCTTTGTTTGGTTGTCAGGAAGGCAGGTCTCTGTGCCGTCTAGAAAAAGGAGTAAGATAAATTCTGAATGGCTATTTTAATCAGTCATGTTCTTACAGAATCCGGAGACAGAAAATAATCTATTATATCTATATTCTCTTTCTGTCTCTTTCGTTTCTTTGTTCTTTCTATGGGGTTGCTATTTGATCATAGGTCTTTTAGAAGCCAGTTACTGCAAGGGTAATGTGGTCGGTCAAGTTTTCCTCATTAGATCTGTGTAAACATTTTTTAAAAATCTATTTTCATACCCAGATTAAGATGTCTCCATCAGGCAGCCAAATCTGCCCCCCTCCAAACCCTGAAACTGGCACCATGCCTGAAGAGTTTCCAAGTTATCCTTCTGTTTTCCTGTCTTGTGAAGGATGTGGTTTTTGGTTGTGTGATTCTTTTTAAGC